TGAAGGTGTAATGTGAAAAATATAAAATTTGAGGGAGCAATGCAAGATGGGGCTATAATTGGGGAGGTCAAAAATATAATTCATACTAAATATTGTGAGAAAGGATTTAAAGAAGTATCTTTTTACCACAATCTCAGATTGGGCTGATTCTTGCGGCCCTGTAACGAATACTTCAATTCCTACAAAATTTATTCTGAACAAAACTCATGAATCACCCTCTAACAAGGTCGAAATTAGGATGCAAGTTTGGTGTAGTAAGTCATCCGCTTCTGAAAGGAAAACTAATTTCCCACTACCTTAGAATTTCTGACATAACTTTTTACCCTGAACTCAGATTGAGCCGATTCTTGCGGCATTGTAAAGAATATTTCAATCCATATAAACTTTATTCTAAATAAAATTCGTGAATTAGCCTCTAACAAGGTCGAAATTAGTATGCAAATTTGATAGAGTAAGTCATCCGCCTCCGAAAGGAAAATTAATTTTCCACTATTTTAGTGTTTCTGACATAACTTGTTACACCGATATCAGATTGAGCCAATTCTTGCAGCATTGTAAAGAATACTTCAATCCCGACAAAATTTATTTTGAGCAGAATTCTAGAATCATCCTCTAACAAGGTAAAAATAGGAATGCAATTTTGGTCTAGTAAGTCATCTGCCTACAAAAAGAAAAGTAATTTCCCACAACTTTAGTATTTCTAACATTACTTTATACCCCGATCTCAAATTAGGTCGATTCTTGCGGCATTGTAAATAATACTTCAATCACTAAAAAAATTATTCTGAGCAAAATTCTAAAATCATCCTCTAACAAGGTCGAAATTAGGATACAAATTTGGTGAAGTAAGTCATCCACTTCCAGAAGGAAAAGTAAGTTCCCTCTACTTTAGTATTTTTGACATAACTTTTTATCTTGATCTCAGATTGAGTCGATTCTTGCGGCATTTAAAGAATAATTCAATTGCTACAAAATTTATTTTGAAAAAAAGAAAATTCTAAAATCATCCTTTAAAAGGTTGAAATTGGGATGCAAGTTTAGTGTAGTTAGTCATCCACCTTCGGAAAGGAAAGTAATTTTTCACAACTTTAGCATTTCCGACATATCTTTTTACCCTGATCAAGGATTAAGCCGATTCTTGTGACATTGCAAAGAATACTTCAATCCCTACAAAATTTATTCTGAGAAAAATTCTTGAATCATCCTCTAACATGGTCGAAATTGGGATGCAAGTTTGGTGTAGTAAGTCTTCCGTTTTTGGAAGGAAAAGTAATTTTTCACTACTTTAGTATTTATCATATAACTTTTTAGCCCCATCTCAGATTGAACCGATTCTTGTGGCATTGTAAATTATACTTAAATCCTTACAAAATTTATTCTGAACAAAATTCGTGAATCATCCTCTAATAAGGTCGAAATAGGGATGCAAGTTTGGTGTAATAAGTAATCTGTCTATGAAAAAAAATTAATTTTCCACTATTTTAGTATTTCTGAGATAACATTTATCTCGATCTCAAATTGAGTTGATTCTTGCGGCATTGTAAGAATACTTTAATCCCTACAAAATTTTCTGGGTAGTAACGAGGGATCCATTGAGATTGATTCAAATTGGGCATACAGCAAAACCATTTGTGAGGTTTGATTCTTAAACCGGATCGAGCGGGTGCCTAAGCTTGAGTCATGATCATTAGGAAGTGTAATAACTTATTAACTTGTGAACAAAATTCTTTAATAATCCTATAACAAGGTCGAAATTGGGATGCAAGTTTGGTATAGTAAGTTATCCGCATCCGGAAATAAAAGTAAGGTCCCACTACTTTAGTATTTCTGACATAACTTTTTATCTTGATCTCATATTGAGCGATTCTTGTGGCATTGTAAAGAAAACTTTAATCCCTACAAAATTTTTTCTTAACAAAATTCGTGAATCATCCTCTAACAATGTCGAAATTGGAATGCAAGTTTTGTGTAGTCAGTCATTTACATCCAAAAGGAAAAATAATTCCATACTACTTTAGTATTTCTGACATAACGTTTTACCCCGATCTCAGATTGAGACGATTCTTACAGCATTGTAAAGAATGCTTCTACCCCCACAAATTTTATTATGAACAAAATTCTTGAATCATCCTCTAACAAGGTCGAAATCGAGATAGTTTGATGTAATAAGTCATCCGCATCCAATAGGAAAAGTAATTTTCCACTACTTTACTATTTATGATGTAACTTTTTACCTTGATCTTAAATTGAGCAGATTCTTACAGCATTGTAAAAAATACTTCATTCCCTAAAAATTTTATTCTGAACAAAATTAGTGAATCATCCTCTAATTTGGTCGAAATTGGGATGCAAATTTGGTGTAGTAATTCATCCGTTTCTGGAAGAAAAAACCAATTTTCCACTACTTTAGTATTTCTTATATAACTTTTTACCTCGATCTTAGATTCAACTGATTTTTTCGGTATTGTAAAGAATACTTCAATCCCTACAAAAATTATTCTGAACAAAATTCTAAAATCATCCTTTAACAAAGGCAAAATTGGAATGCAAGTTTCGTGTAGAAAGTCATCCGCATCCATAAGGAAAATTAATTTCACACTACATTAGTATTTCTGACATAACTTTTTACTGCGATCTCAAATTGAGCCGATTCTTGTGCCATTGCAAAGAATACTTCAATCCCTATAAACTTTATTCTAAAAAAAATTCATGAATTGTCCTCTGATAAGGTCAATATTGGTATTCAGGTTTGGTGTAAGTCATCTTCCTTCGGAAGGAAAATTAATTTCCAAATACTTTAGTGTTACTGATAAAACTTTTTACCCCGATCTCAGATTGGGTCAATTCGTGCAACATTTTAAAGAATATTTCAATTCCTAAAAAAATTATTATGAACAAAATTCTAAAATCAACCACTAACAAATTCGAAATTGGGATGCAAGTTTGGTGTAGTAAGTCATCCACCTATAGAAAAAAAAGTAATTTTTCACTATTTTAGTATTTATGACATAAATTTTTATCTCAATCTCAGAATGAACAGATTCTTTCAACATTGTAAAGTATACTTAAATCCCTACAAAATTTATTGTGAAAAAAATTTGTGAATTGTCCTTAATAAGGTCAAAATAGGATGCAAGTTTGGTGTAGTAAGTCATCTGCCTCTGAAAGGAAAAGTAATTTTCCGCTACTGTAGTATTTCTGACATAACCTTTTACCTCGATCTCAGATTGAGCCAATTCTTGCAGCATTGTAAAGAATAGTTCAATCTCTACAAACTTTATTCTGAACAGAACTTACTACACAAAACTTGCATAGGGTTTAGGGTTTTTAGGGTGTTTAGGGTTTAGGGTTTAGGATTTAGGGGTTAGGGTTTTAGGGGTTTAGGGTTTAAGGTTTTAGGGGTTTAGGGTTTAAGGTTTAGGGTTTAGGGTTTAGAGTGTTTAGGGTTTAGGGTTTAGGGTTTAGGTTTTTTAGGGTGTTTAGGGGGTTTAGGATTTAGGGTTTAGGAGAGGAGGAGGCAGTTGTTCTGTTCTAAAGAGAGAAGCTCTGACTACTCTCTAAAAAACTTTTTCTGTAGGACTTCGTTTCTACCTCTTTTTCCCTGGATATTTTATTGATTTGTGCCAAAAGTATTGGATTATTATTGTCTTAACATGAATCCAGATCAGAATCATAAACAAATTCCACCCAAACCTCCGGATATTACACGAAATTTTGCCTCCTTATTCAAGAAAATTCCTACTTTTTTGAACATTGGTATTGGATCTGTTACTGGCTTGGGATCTTCTGTGAATCTCTTTGGTGGTGAGGAATTGTTTGTGTGCCTCCTTTAATTCCTTCAATTGCTCAAACCTCTTTGGTTTTTGAAATTCCTTTGATTACTCATTTCCCATCGATTACTCAAGTTTCTTCTTCGGTTCAATTTACTTCGATTCATCGTTCTATGAATAATTAAACTACTTTTGTTGGTCAAATACCTTTGTCTGGTGGTGAGAAAGTATATGAATCTGCTGGATCCAGATTACCGAATGTTTCTAGATCTGAGACGAATGTAATGACTTCTGTGAAAAATTTACCTGGTGTATCGAATGTTCTGAGGACTGTGAAGAAAGTTGTGTATAATAACAGAGAACCTGGTATCTATTGGACATCTGAAGAGACGCAAGAGTTGTCGTCCAAATTCCAGCAAGCTCTGATTGGGTAATGCGCATATGGTAAGCCTTCTTTGGGTGTAATTTGTGAGTTTATCATTACTAGATGGAAGTCTAAAGATGATTTTCATGTTGGAGTTCTTGATCCTAGACACATCATAATTCATTTTGAATTGTATGAGGATTATGTTCATACGTGGCTCAAAGACGCTACCTATATAGAAGGTTTTTTATTTAGGTTCTTTAAATGGTTCCCGGAGTTTTTTCCGAGTATTGAACCAGCAGTGGTTCCAATGTGGGTTTCCTTACCAGGTCTCCCCATTCCTTTGTTTATTGTGGATAGTTTGAGGGATATCTTAAGCCCTGTTGGTTGTATTTTGGTTATTGATAAATCTACGTTGAATTTAGCTCGACCTGGGATAGCTAGAGCTTGTGTTGAAGTCAATCTATTGCCTAATAACCCTAGAAGACTGTGGCTAGATATGGGGGGCCAGAGTGGTCGATTGCAGAAGATTGTATTTGAGAAAAGTGTTTTATACTGTTCTAACTGTCTAAAATAGGGACATGATTCTGTTGTATACCGAAAGAAAAAACAGGAAGGAGGTGATGTTATCTTGTCTCATAATGAAGGAAAGAGGTATGATAAGGTGATTTCTATTGTTGAAAATAGAGATACTGGGAGGGATAAGATGATTGAGGTTCGTAGAAATACAGGTAAAAGTCCTATGAAACAGAGGACTGTTATACAAGAAGTTGAAGTGGGAAATAGATTTGAAGTTTTGGAGGATCAGTAGGATAGAGTCTCAATTGTGAATATTGAATTGTGAGAACTTTCTAATGGAAATGTAAATGGGGAAGGTGAACATGAGGCACAGTAGGGGAATGAGAATGACAGTGTAGGTGTTATACCAGAAGAAGTGGTTGATACTGATAAGGTTGATGTCTTGGAGGAGTTTGTTGAAAGGGTGGGAATGATGAATGATGGTGATGATCGAAGAGTAAATGATGAGGGAGGAGTTTCTGCTAATCCTGAATTTGTAGTGCATGAAATTCCTTCTGTAGCTGGTACTAGTTTGGAGGTATTTCCTTTTTCCTCTCCAATTGTTTTGCCTCGAATTTCCCTTGTAGTGAATGTTGTGGTGAATGAGTTTGGAGTTGATATGAATGAGGTTAATGTTGTAAATGATATATCCTCTCAAAATAATGGTGTTAATAATGTATTGGGTGGTGTTCAAGATAATATGGAGAATCTAGGGGAGTGCAGAGTTCTGTATGCTCTCTCTTTGGATTCTTCTTTTTTAATTGAGCATCAGTATGGGTAATGCAAGGAAATTGAGGTGTGGTTAATGATCAGGTGGGTTTGGTGAGTGAGAGAGTTCCACCAGACAAGGGCTATTTTTCTGATCAAGCCAATTCTAGAACTCAGAGGGTTGTTAAGGATGATCAAGATAACTCTGATAGTTCCTTTAATGAAGATGATGAGTGTAATGGATTAAGTTACAGTGGCGCCTCTCTTTCTATGCATTCATGATAAATGTGATTTCATGGAATATGAGGGGGGCAAAAAAAGCTGCCAAAAAGGAGGAGATTAAAGAAGCTTATTAAAATGCATGATGTATGTTTAGTTGCAATTCAAGAACCTAAATTGCTTGTGTCCAAATTGTATAAATATGCTAAGAGTATTGGAATGAGATATTTCTGTTTTAATTCCTTAGCAGAGAGGAGCATTTGGCTTCTATGGGATAATAGAGTGAAAGTAAATGTGTTATTTGAGCATGCTCAAGTGCTGACTGCAGAATTGACTTTTTTGAATAATGAGACTTTCTGGTTTTCAGTGGTCTATGCTAGCTGTGACCTTGTTCTAAGAAGGTCTTTATGGGAACATTTGATTGAGGTTGATGTTCCTTCTCTTGTGCCTTGGATTGTGGTTGGTGATTTCAACACAATTCTTTGCTCAGAGGAAAGAAGAGGTGGTGCTTTCCCTTTATTAATTGCTATGAAGGATTTTGGGGATTGTCTGGATCAAAGTGGCTTGATGCATGGGGGTTTTAATGGCAACAAGTTTACCTGGTGTGATAATAGACAAGGTCATGTGAGAATGATGCAGAGATTGGATAGGGCATTGATCAATGCCTATTGGAATATGAGGTTTGGAGGCTTGGAGGTGGTTCACTTAGCTAGAGGTACTTCTGACCATTGCCCTTTGCTTTTGAAAATTATGAATGAGCCAATTCAGAGGAGAATTTCATATTTCAGATTCTAGGATATGTGGTGTGAACATAAAGGTTTCTTAAGATTAATTTCAGCTAATTGGAATGGGTATTATTCTAATAATCCCATGTCTAATCTGTTTATTAAGCTGAAGTATTTGAAGGCACATATGAAGCTATGGAATAAAGAGGTGTTTGGCAACCTTTTTGATAATATTAGAATTCAGGAGCAGAAAATTTGTTTGGCTGAGATGAGTTTAGATCAAGATTATTCTTCAGCTAAAGCTATGGAACTTGAGGAACATAAGTGTGTGCTATATGATTTATTATGAAAAGAGGAAATTTACTGGAAGCAAAAGTCCAATATTAGGTGGGCTATACAAGGGGAGAGGAACACAAAATTTTATCATGCCATTGCCAAGAGTAAGGTTCTGAGAAACAAGGTTTCTAGAATCCAGAACAAGGATGGGATTTGGGTTCAAGGGGATCAAGAGATTGCTCAGGTTGCTGAATTGTTTTATGTTGATTTATATAAGTCAGAGGAACATATGCTTCATGAACAAATTTTTTCTGTGATTCCTACGTTGGTCAGTGATGAGGAAAATTTAAGGCTTACTATTGAGGTCTCCTTGGAGGAATTGAAGATGTGATATTCTCTATGGCAGCTGACAGTGCCCCTGGTCCAGATGGTTTATCTAGTAGATTTTTTCAGTTTGCCTGGGAAGTTATTAAGTTGGATGTGTTGAATTCTGTGAATTTTCTTTTGAAAGGAGGAGTAATGCCTAAATCACTGAATTCTATTTTGCTGGTTTTGATTCCTAAGAAAGATAATCCTGTTTCCGTTTCTGATTTCAGACCCATCAGCTTGTGTACTTTTTTATAAAAGATTTTTACCAAGTTGATTAATACCAGACTCTCTACTCTTCTCCCTAAATTGGTCTCTGAAGAGCAACATGGTTTTGTTAAAGGGAGAGGTATTGGTGAGTGTGTGGCACTGGGGCAGTTATTGTTTAGTGAACTAGATAGGAAAGTGGAGGGAGGAAACATGGTTTTGAAGCTTGACATGATGAAAGCCTATGATAGGCTGGAATGGGATTTCCTTTTGAAGGTTTTGAGTTGTTTTGGGTTTTCAAATCTGTTCACCCAAATTATTTTGAATTGTTTATCTACTCAATTCTTTTCAATTTGCTTAAATGGCCAGATGTTTGGTTACTTTGCTAATTCCAGGGGTCTAAGACAGGGGGACCCTCTTTCCCCTACCTTATTCATTCTTGTTGAGGAGGTGCTGAGCAGAGGACTAAGGAGTATATATGAGCAGCAGTTGGTAACTCATTTCCATATTGGCAGAGGGACTACATTGGTTAGTCATTTGCTATTTGCAGATGATACACTGGTTTTTCTCAGAGGGACTTAAAATTCTGTGGTGAATGTGATGGATTTTATTGGTGTTTATGAATCTTCCTCTGGTAAGAAAGTGAATAGAATTTCTCTAAGCAGAAGGAATATTCCCATTAAGTCTTGCCCATTTACTTATCTGGGATGTCCTATAATAAGAGGTAGGATGAGGAAATGCTATTTTGAAGGGATGGTGAGGAGCTTTAGAAGTCGAATTGAAGGCTGGTATGCTAAGATGTTGTCTGGTATGGGGAGGGTGGTGCAGGTTCAGTCAGTGCTTAACTCTATCCCATTACATATGTTAGCCAGCATGAATATTCCTAAAGGGATTTTGAGTAAGTTAAATTCCCTAATTTCTGGCTTCATCTGCTCTGGTAAGCTGATGCTAAAAGGAGGCGTTGGGTATCTTTAGAAACTATTTCTTTGCCCAGATTTGAAAGGGGCCTGGGACTGAGAAGTTTTGGTGATGTCTAGTCTGCATTCAGGATCAAACAGGTTTGGAGCATTTACAATGGTCATTCTTTATGAGCTAAGGTTTTCAGAGAAAAATATCTCAAAGGAAAACACATGCTGAGGTGTATGAATTTTGGAGCAAGTCAAAGCTTTAAGGTTTTGAGGCCTTGGTTTGATTTTGTGATGAAAAGTTTTGAGGTGTTAATTGGAAATGGTCAGAGTGTGGATGTCACGGCCCATCTCGGTCTCCCAATGATGAAATGCGACTAGGTTTTTCATACACCTGTGAACAATTATTATAAGCTGGACTAATCAAATATGATATAATTCCACAGGTGCAACAACAATACTCATCACCTTAGTTATTAAGCATGATGATAAAACCTATTTGATAACCTGTACTATATATAAACACTTGTATCAATCATTTATTTTTCAGGTTATAGACATATACAAAATCCCATACCCACATAGCATACATCACAAAATATGCTTACTGAGTCTATTTACAAATATATACTATTAACCTGCTATAAATATCTCTCATAAATATAATACACAGCCCAATGGTTAGTCATACCGACACTCAACCTGAGTGGTATCACACTAACCTTGCATAAGACTCAATCAACTGGATAGTGGACCGGTTTGCATTCTCCTCTATAGTACCTGAAAGAAGAAACTGTAGGGTGTGAGCTAAATCACGCGCTCAGTGAGTATACATGCAGTGTATGGAATGAAAATGATAGTAATACATTGAAGTAGATAGATACTACTTAGATACACATATCAAACAACAACATCAATCCAATTTCAAAAAATTCACAAGCCACATCACATCCACACTACCCCTCATTGGGTAATCTATCCCACATGGATCCGTGTCTTCCGAACCTCCTGAGAACACCACAGTGCTAGCATATCATTGCACGCTCAGTGACCAGGCCTCGACGCTCTTGTTTCAAACAGTGCGCCACATTCCATAATACAGAATACACAGTACAAAGCATCATCCAATCACATAAGCACGTAGCACATAATCTTGGAGAATTGCTATTAAAGTCTATCATTTACTATCATCTTATAATAGCATTTTCAAAACAGATAAAAATATACACCCATCTCAGATATACAAATCTACGACCATTTGGTCCTATCAGTGGATCTTTTCGGTATTACCGTATCTGTTCCAACACTGATTGTTTCACCCGTTTCACCTAACACAATTACAATTACAATATCAAGATATTGATTACATCTAATAGTTAATCATGCACTAATGCATGCAAATGATGCACCTCAAAGTGTCCCGGTAGCTCCGGTTCTCGCACTATCTACTCACACATTAGCACTTTTGTTCTAGGGATCACATTTCCTCCCTAAATTCCCAAAATCACTCACATTAATTACAATTAGGATTAAGTAGGTCAACACATTGACCGGGGGGCCATTTCCACACATTTCGACCTTGAATTTCAAAAACTGCACTTCCAGAATTTCATACATTTCGCACCGGATATTATACTCATTTGTATTCAAAAGTCACATTATCACATCAAGCATTATTTAAAAATCCTACATGCCAAATTTCAGGTCATTTGGATTAAAATTTGCACATGTGATAATAACATTTAGAAATTAGGGTTTTAGCATTACCGATACTTTGTTCTCACTTTTATCGCACTTTTTTATTTAAAACCGCTACACTTAAATTCACATACACATTTAATCAATGCACAACAACCCCTAATTGGCCCTTTAAACCACTCATTTCATTCCGATATTGATTTTTCACATTTTTTTTTCCTTCTTTCTTATACCCGAATTGAACACTCATTACATCCCATTTTAATAGCCCCTTAAGTGGACTCAATTCACTTAATTAAACTCTAAAAAAAATCTTTTTTGATCATAAAGTAAAACAACCCATCATTTGTACACAAGATAGCCCACTAATTAACTAATTATGTGTAATACACTTAATTAAACTCAAATTTAAATTAAAATAGCCTACTCATTAAAACATGTTAAAATAGACCACAACATATATATTAAAATTAGTCACAACGTACGCTTAAATTGAGTCACACATACCTTCCTTGCTCACGGTTCAAATAGACCCATGCATTTTTCTTGTCGTCTTCTTCTCTCTCTCTCTTTTTTTTTTCCTTTTTCCTCTCTTGCTCTGTTCACTTACAGCCTCAGAATTCCATCAGACGCACGCACACACTTTTTAATATGTTAAACACACACACACACACACT